CCCAGTTCCCTCTCCTCTTCCGAAGTGTCAAATTACTGTCCGTGCTGGCCCACCAGCTCATCCCCTCACCTTAGATCGGCTGCTAGGACATTGTTGGACTGGCATTGTGCTATAGCTTTCTCTGGTACAATTGATCTTGCAGTTGGTGTGTATGTTTGAAAGGGGGGGTATCAATGCTGCTTCCCATTTCCTGTTTTTTTTCACCATATATTACTTCAAGCTGCCAAGAGAGATCCCACTTTTACTGCCCACATTCTTGCTGTATCATTGCATAGTGAGGCAGTTGCCCACCCCAGCCCTACGCTATAGGAACTAGAGGCCGGATCCATATAGATTCACAGCCAGAATTTATAAAACATAACACTTAACTCTCTGCCCCTAAATGTTCACCCCTTCCCAGCCAGTGTCATTAGTACAGTGACAATGTGTAATATTAGCACTCATCACAGTATTAGTGTCAGGGGCAGTTAACCAGTTCCCACAAAGTATCCGTGTCAGATTGGTCACTGTGCTATCACAATCCCACTATAAATCGCTGATCACCGCCGTTACTAGTATATGAAAAAAAAAAATCCAGTATATATACACCATAGTTTGTAGGGCAGACTCTAACTTTCATGCAAACAAATTAATATACACTTATTGGGATCTATTTTTTATCAAAGACGTAGCAGAATACATTTTGGCCTAAATTTATGAAGAAATTATTTTTTAAATTTTTATTGGATGTTTTATATTAAAAAGTAAAAAATACTTATATTTTTTTCAAAATGTTCTATATTTTTTTGTTTATATAATAAAAATAAAAAACCCAGTGGTGATCAAATACCATCAAAAGAAAGTTCTATTTGTGTGAAAAAATTATGTAAATTTCACTTGGGTACAGTGTTGCATGATTGTGAAATTACCAGTTTGTGCAGGGCCAATTAGCAAAAAAATGCCCTGGTCACGAAGTGGGTAAAATCTTCTGGAGCTTAAGTGGTTAACCACTTTACAACTGCACTATAGCCAAAAGACGGTTACAGCGTGGTTGTCCAGTTCTGGGAGGGTGTCATATGACATCCTCCCAGAACACGTTCCCCCCCCCTCCGTGTGCCCCCAGTGGCATGCTTCTGGCTCAGTGATCACATGACAAAGTAAAAGACCAATCACAGCGGCTTTTTACCACGTGGTCAGCTGTGTCCAATGACACAGCAGATCACAAAGTAAATACAGTTGCCGGTTATCGGCAGCACTTTCCTTACGCTGTCACAGTGTGAGAAAAGTACTGCCGATAAATGTCAAATGTCACAGAGCAGATTTGTACTCAATCAGTGCCCTGATCATCAGTGCCACCCTTCAGTGCCCATCATTGCTGCATATCAGTGAAGCATCATCGATGCCTTCTTATCAATGGCCATCAGTGCCACCTCGTCAGTGCCCATCAGTTTATGAGAAAATTTACCTGTTTGCAAAATTTTATAATAGTAACAAAGAAAACCTTTTTTTTTTTTCAAATTTATTGTTTATAATGCAAAAAATCAAAACTCCATTGGCAATTAAATACCACCAAAAGAAAGCTCTATTTGTGTGAAAAAAAATTTCAAATGGGTACAATGTTGCATGACCGCACAATTGTCATTCAGATTGTGACAGCACTGAAAGCTGAAAATTGGCCTGGGCAGGAAGTGGGTAAAAGTGCCCGGTAGGCTAGTGGTTAAATGCCATATGTTATCTTCTATACAGCTTTGCTGGTAGCTCGATGACTTTTATGCCCTATCAAAATTACCCAGCAGTAACTGGACCGTTGTTGGTACTATACAGGTGAAACTCAAAAAATTAGAATACCAAAAGTTCTTAAGTGGAGGTGGGGTAGGCTTCCTTGAATAAATGACTTTTTAAGGATCGTCTACAGGCAAACAGGTTAGGAGCTAACCGGACATACTGGGGCAGGGAGTTCCAGAGGATTGGAGAGGCTCTGGAGAAGTCCTAGAGATGAACGTGGGGAGGAGGTAACAAGGTAACAGGAGGTCTTGGGAGGAGCGAAGAGGACAGTTTGGGCGATATCTACAGATGAGGTTGATGATGATGTAGCTGGGGGCAATGTTGTGGATGGCAATGTACAGGTGAAACTCAAAAAATTAGACTATCGTGCAAAAGTTCATTTATTTACTCCTAGATTGTAAGCTCGAAAGAGCAGGGCCCTCAATCCCCTCATGTTTTGCATTGTATTGGTATTGTTCTGTCACATGTTCTGTCCCCCTTTGTAATGTACAGCGCTGAGCGAACTATTGGTGCTTTATAAATACTGTATAATAATAATAATTTATTTCAGTAATGCAACTTAAAAGGTGAAACTAATATATAAGATAGACTCATTACATGCAAAGCAAGATAGTTCAAGCCGTGATTTGTCATAACTGTTATTACAGCTCATGAAAACCCCAAATCCACAATCTCAGAAAATTAGAATATTGTGAAAAGGTGCAATATTCTAGGCTCAAAGTGTCCCACTCTAATCAGCTAATTAAGCCATAACACCTGCAAAGGGTTCCTGAGCCTTTAAATGGTCTCTCAGTCTGGTTCAGTAGGAATCACAATCATGGGAAAGACTGCTGACCTGACAGTTGTGCAGAAAACCATCATTGACACCCTCCATAAGGAGGGAAAGCCTCAAAAGGTAATTGAAAAATAAGTTGGATGTTTCGAAAGTTCTGTATCAAAGCACATTAATAGAAAGTTATGTGGAAGGGAAAAGTGTAGAAGAAAAAGGTGCACAAGCAGCAGGGATGACCACAGCCTGGAGAGGATTGTCAGGAAAAGGCCATTCAAAAGTGTTGGGGACTTTCACAAGGAGTGGACTGAGGCTAGAGTCAGTGCATCAAGAGCCACCACACACAGACGGATCCTGGACATGGGCTTCAAATGTTGTATTCCTCTTGTCAAGCTGCTCCTGAACAACAAACAACGTCAGAAGCATCTTACCTGGGCTAAAGAAAAACAGACCTGGTCTGTTGCTCAGTGGTCCAAAGTCCTCTTTTCTGATGAGAGCAACTTTTGCATCTCATTTGGAAACCAAGGACCCAGAGTATGGAGGAAGAATGGAGAGGCACACACTGCAAGATACTTGAAGTCCAGTGTGAAGTTTCCACAGTCTGTGTTGTGTTTGAGGAGCCATGTCATCTGCTGGTGTTGGTCCACTGTGCTTCATTAAGTCCAGGGTCAACGCAGCCGTCTACCAGGAGATTTTGGAGCATGTCATGTTTCCTTCCGCAGGCGAGCTTTATGGGGATGCTGACTTCATTTTCCAGCAGGACTTGGCACCTGCCCACACTGCTAAAAGCTCAAAAACCTGGTTCAATGACCATGGGATTACTGTGCTTGATTGGCCAGCAAACTCACCTGACCTGAATCCCATAGAGAATCTATGGGGCATTGCCAAGAGAAAGATGAGAGACATGAGACCGAACAATGCAGAAGAGCTGAAGGCCGCTATTGAAGCATCCTGGTCTTCCATAACACCTTAGCAGTGCCACAGGCTGATAGTTTCCATGCCACGCCGCATTGAGGCAGTAATTGCTGCAAAAGGGGCCCAGATCAAGTACTGAGTACATATGCATGCTTCTACTTTTCAGAGATATTATTCTATGTACAATCCTTGTTTTATTGATTGCATGTAATATTCTAATTTTCTGAGATTGTGGATTTGGGGTTTTCATGAGCTGTAAGCCATAATCATCACAATTATGACAAATCACGGCTTGAACTATCTTGCTTTGCATGTAATGAGTCTATCTCATATATTAGTTTCACCTTTTAAGTTGCATTACTGAAATAAATGAACTTTTGCACGATATTCTAATTTTTCAAGTTTTACCTGTACAAGTCACAAATTAAATTGTATAGAAACCTAGAGGAGCCAGATATGGGAAAACATCAAAAATGTAAAAGCGCAGCAAGACAAATTTGTTAAAAATGTTCCTAAAAGTATTTAATAGAAAAGATTAAAGTTGTATTATTGCAGTACTTTTCCTTACGGATCATTTACCAGCTGTAATTCAGGAGCAGTTAGAAGGTGAAGAGAAATAAAGAAACAAATGCATCCCTCATATGACTCCCTGTCAGTAGTCCAGAATAACATGTGAGCACACCACTAAATGAAACCAAGTTTATTTTTCCAGCCTGTTTTTATTAATATGAAAACTGGGCATGTCCGAAGTGGGTCAGTGTACATAGGTCTGTGTGTGTTGGGTGATGGTACAATGGAAATGGCTGCAGAATGTTTGGTGAGAGATAGTCGGTGTCCATAAATGTGATTCATGTCTTCCTGTGGGGGCAAGTGCGCAGGCTTGGATAATGGCGAGAGCAGCTGGAGGATGTGACATGCACAATGTCTCCTCTGTTTTCTGTAGAAGTAAATGCTGCTTAATAGCTGTGCTGGCTTACTCTGTGTAAGACGTAACTGAGGAAAAACTCAGGAAGATTTACTATGTTATTGGCTGAGTGGGTGGTAAGTGAAGGACAGGACCCAAGCACATTTCACCTGAACTAATATTCCTTCCAGGCTCTTACTTCTGACATTATGGCTCTTCATTTCCTAATTAGGCCTCTTGCACCCAGGCACCTGAGCCCATGAAATGTCAATTCTGGCACATTTCCCCCATACAGAAAGACCAGGTGCTGCGCACAGATGCCTATAGCCAGTCAACTGAGCGTATATACCCCAGTACAGTCATTCATGTCTGGGGGTGGATGTACACAATGTGTGCTCTTTCTGGACAGGGGCAATACGCCAAGATATACGTTGCATGGGATCAGGCACCCGCATCTAAAAAGCCTTGTCTGATGAATACTGCTGAAAACGAAAGGCATGTCCTGCAAACTCTGACTAAGAACATACATTTTCCTGGATGGTGGCAAACCGCTGTCATAGAATGCAAACAGTGTGGTATTCCAGCAATGTATTCTAATATCTCTGCTCTTACAGCAGTTTCCTAACATTTTGTTTCCTTCTAATTCAGAAAGGTTATGGCTACAAAGGCACCAAGTTTCACCGAGTTATCAAAGACTTCATGATCCAAGGAGGGGATTTCTCAGTTGGAGATGGGACAGGAGGTACATTTTTTAAGGCTTTTAATTAAAGAGAAAAATGTCTTTATTACATCTTTGCAAAAGGGTGAAACACTCATGAATGTTCATTTATTTAGTTTGTGTAAAAAAAATTGCTTTCAAAAACTGGCAGAGTGAAATGCGTGTCTCAGAATCCTCTGGTGAAAGCAGTATCCTCTTGCCACATATCAGTAATCACTTTTGGTTAAAGACCAAATTCACCTTTTGTGTAAAGAAAAAAAAAAAAAAAAAGTAATAAAAATATGCATTAAATATTTTTTGTCATTGTACCTGCAATCTGCGGATCGTGAGTGTAGTGTCAGCCTCCTGCAGGCTCTTCGTACAGCTCCCTGTTCAGGCAGACAGTTGCTGAGCTGCAGGAAGTGTCAGTGGACTACGAGGGCAATGATCAGCATGTCCTTAATCCATTGACAACTAGTCCATCGGCTACGATGGCTGAGAGATTGCTGTAAACAAATGATGATGTGGTTGTGTGGGTGGAACCCTGCACAGTCATGCCTATTTTAAGTGTGACAGTGGCTGTGGGAGAGACAAACCCGTCTGCTGTCATGGGAGGGGGGGAGACGACTCACAGAGTGATGGGGAGTGGCGATTAACAACCCAGCACCCATATTTAGGGTGCAACAAGTTGCTAAAGGTGAACCTAGCCTTTAAGCTGGACATACTCAGCGTTACTGCAGTTAACTAGTTTGTGGCTCAAGAGATGGGGAATGGCATCCTTCAATGGAGGCTGATGAGACGGCTATTTTGCCTCCTAACCGTGCCCCACTTAGGAATGTTTTTTAATTACCCTTTATCAAATTCTGCTTGCAATAGATGCAGCTAATAGATGAAAATAATCGAATACATTAAGAAACGTTTTGCTTTTCCCCATATTTTGCTTATTAGAAATACAACAGAGAACCTATTAAGCTCCTGTTACATTGGTACAGGAAGAAAAACCACCCCTATGTCCTAGGCACTCTTATTTGCCTTTAACTGCACTCCCTTGTCACTCTGATCCCCACCACCAACCCCTGCAAAGTGACCAGCCATTGACATGGCACAAGCCCATCATCCTGTCCTACGCATCCACCTGTGCCTATTACCACCATACGTTTGGAATTCAAATCTCCACCGCCACTTCTACAAGGTGACTAACCATTGCAGACAGCTGCATATCCAATGACATATCCTGCCCCGATGTTGGGGCCTAGTGACTGATCACCCAGCTACCAAGCACTGCATTGTGGGGAAGCAGGTGACATGTCACATGTTCTTTGTACCCCAAAGTACTGGGATTTATTTTTACAGCGCAACAGTGGTGGAAAGACATCAATAAAGTTTCTTAGGGCAGGTGAGGGTGGCTTGGGGATTTTCTTTCATTTGTTCTCTTAGGTTTAAGCCTTGTTCACACCAGTGTGCAGAGACGTCAATTTTTCTGCATGCGTTCTGCAAGGACACAACAAAATCAAATGTTCACTATGTGTCCTGTTCACACCACAACACTGATATCACGTACAGGTTTTTTCTGCACAGGAATCTGCAACATGTATACAACTCATTGAAGCGCACATGAAAACTGATGTCTCTGCAAATGAGATCTGCATGTCAGGTTCCATCAGTTTTTCTGCACGTATGGTGTGAACGAGACCTTACTGTAAAGGAGTTAAAGGAAACCTTTCCATAGGAAACATGGAGGCCACCATTTCTAACTGCAAATGCTAATTGCCTGGCTGTAATACTGAGCCTTGTGTTTCAATACTCTAAGCCAATAACTCGGAACAGATATGAATGTCTCTCTTATGATTTCTGGATATGTGCCGAGTCGATGGGTCCTAGCATTGATGTCAGTCAGTACAAAAGCCAGGCAACTAACATTTTTAGTATGAAGTCAGCAATGGCAACCCCCATAAGATTCCTAGGAATGCACAATTTAAGCATTTTGTGTCCCTGGTTTAAACCCGCTTAGCTATGACATGCTAAAGAGGAGAATGAATGTCATTTACAGTAACAATTGTACAAATTCTTGCACATGCAGATAGCAAATACAAGCATGGCCAAACCATAAAAGATGTACATTTTCAAATGCTGTAATGTAGTTCTGTTTTGCAGGGGACTCCATGTCACATGAGGAATATATAAATATATATTTTTCTATTGTTAGAATAAGCAGGTATTTTTGACACTGTCTGAAAAGGAATTTTGCCCCTTTAAAAGCCATAAGATACATTTGGGGGTTGATTTCCTAAAACTGGAGAGTGTAAAATCTGGTGCAGCTGTGTATGGCAGCCAATCAGCTTCTAACTTCAGCTTGTTCAATTAAGCTTTGATAAAAAAAACTGTTTGGTTTCTTTGCAGGACTGCACCAGAATTTACACTCTCCAGTTTTAGTAAATCAACCCCATATTGTATAGTGCTAAAAGATAACATGGCAAACTGAATATTACAATTTTTTAGGTTGGAGTATCTATGGGAATACGTTTCCAGATGAGAATTTTAAGCTGAAGCACTATGGCATTGGCTGGGTGAGCATGGCTAATGCAGGGCCAGATACCAATGGGTCACAGTTCTTTATCTCCACAACAAGACCTTTATGGCTCAACGGGAAACATGTTGTGTTTGGCAAAGTTCTGGACGGCATGGTAAGAAAACTGTATTCTTTTATTGCATATAAATAACTATGTTCAGTGGCTGCAGCTTTTCATTTATTTTGTACTCCTTCCACAAACAGTTGAGACCTGTGTAAATAGGTGCTGTTTTCCTAAATTTTGAAACGCACATCAAATGAAGATCAGATTTCCATTTACTACAAATGTGTGGTGTGGATGACAGTTCTGAGACTGTACTTGACTTACTTTGTGCTGCATTTATTTGAACACAGCGGGCCCTATTGAGATGCTTTTTGCATTGCAGACAAGGCAGATTATACTTCACCTTTTACTGTGTTTTATGTTTGAAGATGTCGCTCTAACAGTGGTTGTCAGAAAAAATCTTCTAATAGACAGCAAAAAAAAAAAAAAAAATCTGAAAAGGGGTTTAAAGTGTTACTAAACCCACAACAGTAAAATCAGTCTGTATATGCAGTAAAGCATGCTTGTTATACTCACTGTGGAACCTAAGGGGTTAATCCTCCGCATTGTGTAAAAAGGATGGTTTGATCCTATCTTCTCTGATGCTCCCCTCCTACTGTCCCCAGTCCATTTGCTGATAGAACAGAGCCTTGGGGGGGCAAGCTGCACATGCTCAGTTTGGTGTTTTTGTGCTAGTTTTTTTTTTTTTTTCTTTTCTTGGGAAATTGCATGTGATTAGCACAGGGCCAATCAGCACTGTCCAGACAGAGTCAGGGGTTATGTAACCTCACAGGACATTCAGGGGAGAATGAAAACTACAAACTTTAACCTGTGCTCTGCTGGACACTGATAGAAGTCACAAGACTGCTCTAACTGCTGATGAGAAAAAGGTGTTTAGCAGTTTATATTTACTAAAATCATTCATGTCCATGTTTGTGTGTACTGTAGGAGACCAGATATAGTGAATGCAGGGGCCTGGGTTTAGTAACACTTTAACCCTTCTGCACTTTAGCCAAAAAAAGTTTAGTTTTTAGATACACTTATAATGTAATGAGCAGTCTCAATAGGGAGATTCAGGAAACTGTAAGGAGGGAGATGATTCTTAGCGCAATCATTGGCCTAAAAAGACTTGTGTGACACCTCCCCATGACAAACCAAAAATCTAGATCATCTCTCAGTGATGTATTGGACAAAACAAATTCTGAATGTCAACAATGTGCCCATTAATATAAACACACCTATAATTTTATTGGTGGTGTTTTGACCCCTGTAAACTCTTATACACAACCTAATAATTCAGAAAAGCACTTTTATAAGAGATATGTTGTGAGAGTAAAACATTTTTCTAGTTTCCATTTATGAAGCACCAATATTGTCTTATGACCATAACGCTGCTTAAAAAACAAACAATCATCATTGTGCTGTGCGCTTTACAAACCCTCAAAGTGCCGGGAGGAGGACACCCGCCACATGACTGACAGATAATGGGACTGGGCTCTCCTTTAATCTAGTGTTCCCTGCAGTGTTACATTACCTTTCTGGCTTTCATTCAAATAAATCTTTATGTCTGGTATGCTTTCTGTCCACCTTCTTTCTCCAGGCTGTGGTGCACTCGGTAGAGCTCCAAGCAACAGATGACAAGGACCATCCTTTCCAGGAGTGTGTTATAGTGAACAGTGGCCAGATCAACGTCAAAGAACCATTTGTGGTGGAAGTGGATGACTGGCAGGACTAAAATAATTTTTTTAATACCTCTTTTTAAAAAAGATTTTTTAAATAAATGTAAATATGTTAATCTGACCATGTGGTATTCTTGTCCTTTATAACCATGTGAAAATGGTAGACAGTGTTCAAAAATATTTTAACTTTACTGCAAATGCTCATCTGAAGACGTTATAATACTCAGAAGAAGACAGGTACATGATATGAGTCAGCAATAAGAATATTGAAAGTGCTAATATATTATTAAGGTACTTTCCTTGCTTCACTACTTAGTCACTGTGCAGGAACAAGCCTATATAGTGTGTTGTCATATGTACACGCTTATCCTAATCAGCAAGTGTAAAAAGAGAAGGATGGAAAGCCCTGGACCTGTAATTTATTAAACATAAAAATGCTAATGTCATCTTACTCCTATCCCTGATAGGTTGCTTGTAAGGGCTAGTTCACATGGGCGTAGAGTGCTGTTTATCTTTTTGTACCAGCATGAAGCTGCTTGTAGGCAACCTCTATAAGTAAATGGGATATGCATTGTTTGTTCGGATTCACCGACACAGCCGAGTTCGACAGGTACGATTGCAGTTTGTGCACCTAGGGCTATGCATCTGCCTCTGCCAAACGTGTGAGTGAATATGTACAGCCAATGCTTATCTGGCTGCCATACTGCCCCTCCTCATTCTCTCCTTATAGCTACTACTCTCCTTGATTTTTGCAACTTTATATTGTATTTATATACTGTACGGGGTCTGGAACCAGTAGACTCGGGCAGGTGCCTGGTAGATCATGATCTGGGCTTGCTGACCCGCCATCCCAGATAGACTGCAATGCAGAAGGATTACTTGTAAAGTTGGAGCTGTAGTAAGGAGCAAGAGCCACATAAGCCAATACCTACTCAGTAGTGCTGGATCCTGTACCATGCAGAATGATAACAACTGCACTCCACCTCTTATCCCGGCTAGCAGTCTCCGGAGTGGTGTCAGCAGCAGGAAAGAAGAGATCTTCAGGTCAGTGTGAAGCAATACGTTGGGCATAATAGTATAGGGCTGCTCTCATACTGATGCTCTGTGATTTACCCACACCCTGGATGCTGTGCAGTGTACCTGCAGCCTTCCTGCGTGTTTGCTGTGCTTAGCCATAGACTTCTACTATATACTGCAAGTTTGGTGCGCTTTCTGAAATTGCCCCAAAACTAAACTTTTAGTGCACTTTCAGGAGGTGCACCATACCTGCAGGATAGGATAGAAGGCTATGGCTAAGCACAGCTAATCCAGGAAAGTCACAGATGCACTGCACTCGAGGTGCAGGTAAACCACAGCACATCAATGTGAAAGCAGCCTTATAGGGGGCTCAGAACAGTAAGGGTTAATTTAGATTTGCAGTTTGGGGGTAGTAAAAACCGATAGTTAAAACATGTTTTTGCCACCCCAATGGCATCCCTTTTACCTGCAATAGCCAGGGGTGTACACATGTTGCAGCTGCAGCAAGAGTTATATGCCCTGTCATGGTTGATGGGTGTAGCACCTGCCAAGCATGATCCATTCAAGTGAATAAGGCCGCTCTGCAAGTGTTTGCAACCTTGTGCAATACAGCAAACAAGGAGTTAAAGCAAGTAGCGTTGTGTTGCTCAGAACAGCAAGGATTCATTTACATTTGCAGTTTTGGGGATAGTAAACACCCATAGCTAAAACATGTTTTTACCACCCTTGCCCCACCGGCACCCCTTTTAGTTGCAGTGGCCAGGGGTGTACACATGCTGCAGCAGGAGTTATATGACCTGTCATAGTTGATGGGTGTAGCACCTGCCAAGCATGACCCATTCAATTGAATTAGCTCGCTTTGCAAGCTTGCGCAATACAGCAAACAAGGGGTTAAAGCAGGCAGCATTGTGTTGCTTTCTCACCACCTGCTTCAACCCCTTGGACCTCACAGAAGCATGCAATTGTAGAGCGCTTGCAGAGTGGACCCATTTACTTGAATGAGTAATGATTGGCAGGCATTTACCAAAAACAACAGGGGTTTTAATACCTGCTTCGGTATGTGTACAGCTTTGGCTGCTGCTCAGCAGCTAAAGGGGATAGGGATTGGTGGGCGGTAAAAACATGATTTTTTTTCTATATACTTACCTGTAAAATCCATTTCTTGGAGTACATCACAGGACACAGAGCAGGTTATTCATGACTACGTGGGTTATATGCCCCCTATAGGTGAATGGACACTGGCCAATCAGAGTGGAAGTCCTCCCCTATATAACCCATCCTACACAGGAAGTACTTCAGTTTTTGTAGCAAGCAATGAAATTCCAGAAAGATGTACTGTACTCCAAGAAATGGATTTTACAGGTAAGTATGTAGGAGAAATCCAGTTTTCTTTATTGTACATCACGGGACACAGAGCAGGCTATTTATGACTATGTGGGATGTCCTAAAACAAAGAAATTTGAGGGCAGGCTGACACCATGATAGCCACAGTCATAATCCCTCAGGACCTACTCAGCCAGCTGTAAAACACTGTAGCTAAAGGCAGAATTCTCTGTGGCTCTGACATCCACCTGATAGAACCTTGTGAATGTGTGGACCGAAGACCATGTAGCAGCCTTGCAAACCTGAGCCACTGGCGCCTGATGGCGGATTGCCCAAGATGCCCCCACACTCCTGGTAGAGTGTGCCTTCACCCGAAAGGGTAGGACCTTACCTTTCAGACCATAAGCTTGAATGATCAATTGGTGGAACCAATGTTAAATAGTCACCTTGGATGCCGCCTGTCCCTTCCTAGGCCCCTCTGGCAGCACAAACAGCATCTGAGCTCCAGCCCTGTGCCATCACCTTCAAGAAGACCCTTACAGAGCGTACCACATCCAAAGTATGCAGAGATCTTTTTCTTGCTGCCTGAGGCCTAGGAAAGAATAAAGGCAGAGCAATGTCCTGATTTGAGATGAAAACTAGAAACCACCTTTATTGAAAAAAAATCATTTGAGGTTGCAAAACCATGTTATGATGCAAAACCAGAAATGGTTCTTTGAAAGAAAGAGCTGCCACTCCGACACCCTTCTTGCAGAAGTGATTGCCACTAGAAACAAAACCTTACCAGTGGAATATCTCTAAAAGGTTCAAATGGTGTTTTTTGCAAAACCTCCAAAACCAAATTCAGGTCCCAAGGACACAAAGGTAACCTGACAGGAGGAGCAATACGCATTACTCCTTGTAAAAAAGTGCAAACCAAAGAGTGAGACGCCATGGGCCTCTGGGGGGAAAAAAAAATAATGCTGAAACCTGGCCCTTAATGGTAACAACAGCCAATTTCTTCTCCAAACCTGTTTGAAGAAACGACAGAATCCTACCAATCACATACTTTCGTGTGTGCCATTTCTGGACCTCTCACCAGGAAATGTAAGCCTTCCAAGTTCTGTAATAAATGTTCTTAGAGTCTACCTTTCTAGCCCCCAACATGATAGTGATGACAGAATCTGATACTCCCCTATCTTTTAGAATCTGTGTTTCAATAGCCATGCCATCAAATTTAGCAACCATAAAGCTGGGTGCAATATAGGACCTTGAGACAGCAAGTCTAGCCAACAAGGCAGAGACCACAGCCCGTCTACTGCCATTTTCACTATGTACCAGGCCCTCCTGGGCAAATCAGTATCACCGGAATAGACTCCTCCCGAATCCTGCATAAGACACGTGGCAGCAGCTGAATCGAAGGAAGGCATAAATCAGTGAGGCATCTACCTCTGTCGCGTGAGGGTCCCTTACCCTGGAAAGAAAAAAAACGGACTTTGCGGTTGAGCCTTGCCAATAGATCTACATCTGAGCAACCCCATTGCTGGCAGGTTCCATTAAAAACCTTGAAATACAAAGCCCATGCACCTGGAATCAATCACCAGCAACTGAGATAATCCACCTGCCAATCTTCCACCCCCCCCCACTGAACACTGCTGACAAACTTCGTACATACAGTTGTGTTCAAAATAATAGCAGTCAGACATCACTAACCTGATCAATCACTGTTTTTGGTAGAAATGATATTTCTACATGGCAAATAATTTACTAGCAGGTGTAGTAGAGTAATAGAAATCCAACAGACCCAACAGTCATGACATACATGCTGCTGATTCTGTGTAATTGAATCACCAATTGAAAGGGGCATGTTCAAAATAATAGCAGTGTGGAGTTCTATTAGTGAGGTCATTCATTCTTTGAAAAACAGGTGGCAATTATTGCCCTTATTTAACTAGTTGCCGACCACAGATAGCCGAATGACGGCTGCACTGTGGCCGGCCAGTTCTGAGTGGACGTCATATGACGTCCTTCCAGAACGCGCTCTCCTGCGCGCCCCAGGGGGCGCGCACCCGGCGATCTCCGTGATCGCTGTGTCCTACGGACACAGCTGATCACGTGATGTGGTAAAAGGCCAATCACAGCGGCCTTTTACCACATGATCAGCGGTGTCCAATGACACGCTGATCAGAGGGAAATGCAAGTGCCGGTTCTCGGCTGCACTTTCCTCACGCTGTCAGATCGTGAGGAAAGTACTGCCGAGAACCGGCAGTTGTCAGAGCGGGGATCGGCACCGATCATCAGGGCACTGATGATCAGTGCCCTGATGATCGGTGCCCAGCAGTGCCACCCGCAAGTTCCGCCCACCTGTGCCCAGCAGTGCGCCCACTAGCTCCACCCACCTGTGCCCAGCAGATGTCACCCACCTGTGCCCAGCAGTGCACCCACCTGTGCCCAGCAGTGCATCCACCTGTGCCACTCTGCAGTGCCACCTACCTGTGCCCAGCAGTGCCACCCACCTGTGCCCAGCAGTGCCACCCACCTGTGCCCGCCCACCAGTGCCACCCACCTGTGCCCACCCACCAATGCCACCCACCAGTGCCACCCACCAATGCTGCCCACCAGTGCCACCCACCAGTGCAGCCCAGCAGTGCTGCCAGTCAGTGCCGCCAGTCAGTGCCCAGCAGTGATGCCAGTCAGTGCCGTCTATCAGTACCCATAATCAGTGTCGCCTATCAGTGCTGCATATTAGTGCCGCCTATCCATGACACCTCATTAGTGCTGTCTAACAGTGCCGCCTATCCGTGCCACCTCATTAGTACTGCCTATCAGTGCTGCCTATCAGTGCCCATCAGTGCTGCCTCATCAACGCACATCAGTGAAGGAGAAAAAATACCTGTTTGAAAAATTTTATAAAAGAAACAAAGAAACTTTTTTTTTTTTCACATTTTTTGCACTATTTTTATTTATAGCGCAAAAAGTAAAGTGCCCAGTGGCGATTAAATACCACCAAAAGAAAGCTCTATTTGTGAGAAAAACATTATCAAAATTTCAGATGGGTACAATGTTGCATGACCGCGCAATTGTCAATCAAAGTGCGGCAGCGCTGAAAGCTGAAAATTGGCCTGGTAAATAAGGGGGTATAAGTGCCTGGTAGGCAAGTGGTTAAGGAAGGAAGGCAGCAAATGTTGTACATGCTGGTTACAGTGCATTTCTCTGTGAAATTCTGAGGAAAATGGGTCGTTCCAGACATTGTTCAGAAGAACAACGTACCTTGATTAAAAAGTTGATTGGAGAGGGGAAAACATATAAAGAAGTGCAGAAAATGATAGGCTGCTCAGCTAAAATGATGGCAAATGCTTTAAAATGGCAACCAAAACCTGAAAGACGTGGAAGAAAGCGAAAAACTACCATTCGAATGGATAGAAGAATAGCCAAAATGGCAAGGACCCAGCCAACAATCAGCTCCAAGAAGATCAAAGAAGGTGTAAAGTTACCTGTGAGTACTGTTACAATTAGAAGACGCCTATGTGAAGCCAAGCTATCTGCAAGAAGCCCCCGCAAAGTCCCACTGTTGAAAAAAAGATGTGCTGAAGAGGTTACAATTTGCCAAAGAGCACATTGACTGGCCTAAAGAGAAATGGCGCAACATTTTGTGGACTGATGAAAGTAAGATTGTTCTTTTTGGGTCTAGTGGCCAGAGACAGTTTGTCAGACGACCCCCAAACACTGAATTCAAGCCACAGTACACTGTGAAGACTGAAGCATGGTTGTGCAAGCATCATGATATGGGGATGTTTCTCATACTACGATGTTGGACCTATTTATCGCATACCAGGGATCATGGATCAGTTTGAATACATCAGAATACTTGAAGAGGTCATGCTGCCTTATGCTGAAGAGGAAATGCCCTTGAAATGGGTGTTCCAACAAGACAACGACCCCAAACACACCAGTAAACGTGCAACATCTTGGTTCCAGACCAACAAGATTGACGTTATGGAGTGGCCAGCCCAATCCCCGGATCTTAATCCAATAGAAAACTTGTGGGGTGACATACCTGTTCACAGGTGCCAGAAGTTGGTTGACTCCATGCAACACAGATGTACAGCAGTTCTCAGAAACAGTGCTTATACAACTAAATATTAATTGATTCAAAGGAAAGCAAAATCTTCAAACATTTTCAGTTTATATAGTGAATGTTTGAGTTTGTAAAGAAGAATACAAACACTGCTATTTTTTTGAACAGTCTAATATTCACTTTTCTTCAATTTTTTTTTCAGAGGAACAACACAAATTTGATATATTTTTCTTCATGTTTTGATTTGGAATAGAATGTGTAGTGTTCCCAATGCATTTTTGTGTATGGAAATAAAAGCTATTAGAAGGATTTTGAGCTTTATTCACTTTTTTCAAGACACTGCTATTATTTTGAACACAACTGTATCTCTCTGCCCAGGTCAGAATGCAATTCACCTCTGCCTGAGCCCCTTGACTCCTGATCCCACCCTGCATCCTTGATATCTATGGATGCAAAAAAATCTCCTTCCTGTAAAGAGGCCACTACTGACCGAACTGATTCCATATGAAAAGACCATACATTTAGAAACTGATTTGAGTGTCTGTAACAAAGCTTTTCTCTTCTCTGGATTCATCAGTACATTTGATTTTAGAAAGGGGGGGGGGGTGTTCCCAAAATTCTAGTCTGTACTCCAGAGAAATTCTGGAAATTACCCACTTGTCTTGGATTAGAGCCCTCCAGGCTGCAATAAACTTTAAAAGCCTTCAAAAGCTTACCTGGTATGCCCAGGCAGTCTCCCCTCCAAGTAGTAACCAGAACTTGACCCGGATTAGATTCCGAGTTCAGACGAGATCAGGCGTGTAGAGGGTCATTACCCTGTCCATTGCAGCTCCGCCACTGGGAATAGCTGCAATGTCAGACAAACAACCCTGAACACCGCCAGATTTGCACCCCCCCCCCCACGAGTCTACTGGACCAGAGGGCGGTGTACCTGCCTCTTTGCTGGCTACTTCCTTTGGGACCCTTTAAGTAAAAAAAAAGAAAAGGCAGCAACTATATTGTCACCTAACTATTCAGTCCCACAGGGATATATGTCCATAGCCATCTTGGTCTACAGCAGTGGTCTCCAAACTGTGGCCCAGGGGCCAGATGCGGCCCATTGCTTGCCTTTATCTGGCCCTTGAGTCGTTACTTCTGTCACTGACAGCAACAATGGGTCTATAATTCCTGCCATTGACACCGATAAGGCATTATTCCTTCCACTGACAACAATGGGACACTATCCCCCCCCCCCCCACTGACACCAACAATGGGGCACTGTTTCCTCTCCCGACACCAACAATGGGGCACTATTCCCCCCCACTGACAGTAAAGATGGGGCACTATCCCCTCCGTTGACACCAACAATGGGGCACTATTCCTTTGGCTGACATCAATGGGGCATTATTCCTCTCACTTTCAACAATGGGGCACTATTCCTTTCACTGACAACAATGGGGCCTTATTCCCCCCACTGACACCAATGATGGGGCATTATGGCATTGTTTTCTCCCACTGGGCACAGTCCGGCCCCCTAAGGTTTGAAGGACAGTAAACTGGCCCTTTGTTTAAAAAGTTTGGAGACCCCTGGTCTATAGTTATAGGTCATCGCACAGGCAAGAAAGCATGCAGCTATGTAGATACATAGGCACGTAAGTGTGCAAATTATACCAATTCATGCAAGTGTAGGTATGCAGTCTATGTTAGTATGCATTAAAGTATGCATGTACAGATGCCACCCAAGCATCAGGTACGCATGTACGGATACCACCCAAGCATCAGGCACGCATGTACGGATGCAGCCTCAACATCAGGTATGCATGTACAGCTGCGGCCCAAGCATCAGGTACGCATGTATGAACAAATGCAGTTTATTCAATATACAGTTCACAAAACTATGCAGGTACAGTGGGGAAAATTATTATTTGATCCCCTGCAGGGTTTTGTAAGTTTGCCCACTTACAAAGAAATGAAGGATCTATAATTTCTATCATAGGTGTATTTTAAATGATAGAGACAGAATATCAACCAAATGCCCATGGCGGTGCCCAAGAAAGAGATTCTGTGGACAGGTGTCTTTTTATACACACAACAAACTGCTGTTAGGAGCACCTTCTTAAATTGACAGGACTACATAGCCAGCCTGTGGGAGCCAGAATTATTGTTGGCTGGTAGGGGGTCAAATTACTTATTTTACTCACTGAACTCAATTTAAAACATTTGTATCATGCACTTTTTTCTGGACTTTTAGTTGATATTCTGTCTCTATCATTTATAATACAATGCTGCAACTGTCCTGCTTTCTAGAAGCGTATGGTTTAAAAGAACTGCGTCAAAATTAAATGCACTTGGTTCCATGCTGCTTCAGTGCAGCTAAAAATGTAAGCTCCTGCAGATCAAATGCAAGCTACTCTGGAGACTCAACTCCTTTAAGTGCACTAATACCCCTGCAGGGGTGCGTCACAAAACAGTTGTACAAGCCCCCTGGGATTATGCAGGCTAATGCAGTGTATAATCATGTTCTGTCCAGCCATGCAACTCCCCCAAAGGAAACACTCACACACCATCATCCAGCCATAGACTTCTCCGTTTCTCTGCTACCTCTCAGGAGTCTCACAAACCACGAGCCACATGTGAACACAACCTAAAATGGCTGCCCAGCTACTTCCTGCATCCACTGCACCAGTGCAGGCTATAGAGAGTGGCCCCATGTCCTCTAGTGGCTGAAAACTGCAGCTCAATACTCCTTTAGAGACACACACAGCATGGCTTGGTCAAACCAACAGCACACTGCCCCCAGTGGCCACCAGGAGAATGACCAAACAGATTTTTCAAAGAAATACTGAAAATGTAAACTTACCATTCCCGCCCCAGGACCCTGAATCATAACAGGAGTCCAACCTTCACCCATCACAACGGGCTTTGTCATGCAGACCTTTAAGGACCCCATAATGTGGGGCCATTGCCTCGGACCTGTACAGCACCTTGGTCAGTATTTTACTGCACAGGGGTACGTTATGCAGGATCCAGGGCTGTAAGGCTGCATTACAGGCAAAACCCCAAGGATTCTTCTCCTTATCCAGCGAGGCTCAGGTACCATCCATATTGGCTAACAGCTTTCTGAATGGATCTGATTAAAGTCCCTGATTCTCTAATGGAACCGTTCTGGACCTTCAGGTATGTTCCTACAGCACATGCAACACTTTCAGTGACTTCCACCTTACAGACACTGGCAAAAAAAATGGAAGTACTTCCTGTGTAGGAGGGGTTATATAGGGGAGGACGTCTTCTCTGATTGGTTGGCCAGTGTCCATTCACCTATAGGTGACATATAACCCACATAGTCATGAATAGCCTGCTCTGTGTCCCATGATGTACAATAAAGAAACATATGACTAAACCGCAGGGTTTTACCACTCCGCCCCCCAACTTTAAATGTGAACGAGCCCTAAGGGTGCCACTGCCGAATGCAACTAAGGGCTCATTCTAAAAAGCAAGCCAATATATTGTTTAAATCA